AAACAACTGTAGCAGCTCGTTTTTTCCCCCCACCACTTGTCTCGAATTCACTGTACCTTGCCACCAATTCAACTTTGATTTGGGGTCATGTAGAATTGAACAACTTGAGATAAGTCAACAGTGGTGACTACCTGGAAGCAAATTCCTTGGTCTGAAATGTCCCGGGGGGAGAGAAACAGAATCCAGTAATATCGTGGCCAAATTTTAAGGTTAGGTGTGTTCCCTGCCTCTTCCTGATAGCCTTTTTCGATTATCAGAATTCAGAAAATGATCGAATTGGGGTAGATAAACAGAGCTACAATTAAACTGGGGCAGTGAACTGTCCAAGTTTGTTACCTCGAATCAATTTTCAACGATTAAATACCATGATTGCTTTTGACAAAACATGCTACTAGAATAAAAATGGGGCTTTTGATTTGAGTGTGTGGGGACTATAGAAAATAGTGCATGATCTGAAGACTTTCAGTATCGTGGGTGCACAAGCTCCACAAAAAACCTTTTGGATAGGTCGTACAGTGTATGACCTAAAAATTATCTGGTTCACTCCTCAACAAAACGTGGTCTGAAGCAACTTGCCAACTCGCCCCTTCAGATTAGTCATGATTGTGCAGTGTCAACTGTTGATCACTTGTTCTCGTGCCCATAAAGAAAAAAAATGTTGTTCATGGTCCTATGCTGTTTAGTGGACCATATCCCGAATGTTTTTCATTTCACATTTTCTATGCAGAGCATATACTAGTATTAGAATAGGCTGAATAGCTATCGTAAGGAAATAGATGTGAAAATGATACAGAAATATCATATGGTGATTCTGTAAATGGTATTGTCCTGTAGACACTCCATGTCTCCATGGCAGCGGAGTACACAAACATAAAAGCAACGGTAGTACATTACAAGTAACAGGTGAATAAAATGAGCATGTAAATTAGAAAAAAAAATCCATTTTACTCGCCCAAACTAATTCAATAGACCATTTATCCTCTCAACTATTTTTTGGCTCATTTTATATATCCCCTAAACTATTAAAAATGATTCATTTTACTCCTTAATAACATTTTTTTACTCATTATACAAGCTGTATTTTAAGCTGATATTGTTAGAGCCATAGATGACACCATTACCAAAGTTTAAAAATATTTTAAAATTTTTCATGGTGTTTGCTCGAACTTTAGAATTTTGATGTTTAAATCAGTTTGAAGTGCTTTCAACCTATGTAAACAGTGAGGGAAAAAAATCACAAAAGAATGTTGACGTAAAATATGACTTATACAGGGAGAACTAAAGAAGAGAGGTAGCGTTGGTTGGGGGGGATGTGAAGTGAACCATTTTCAATAGTGCGGGGTGTAAAATGAGAAAAAAAAGTTTAAAGGGGCTAAGTGCTCCAATGAAATAGTTCAGGGAGTAAAATGAACTTTTTTTGTAAATTAATAAGGAAGAAGGAAAAAAAGTCCTTACGAGGCTAACATAGTTGAAGTAACAACGATTTATTGTTACCCAATCAGATTGTTTGTAGGTGGTGGAGATGATGCAAGATGGGGGTTTTTCGGCAACAACGGTTGTGGTAATTTTCTATGAATGCCAGATTTTTGATGTATGATTTTGTTAAAGTCTCTGTCGAGTGTTGTAATAGGGAAGCCAATTGTGTAGCACATGTTCTAGGTAATCATGCTTTTAAGTTTAAGAATTCTTGTAATTGGGTTGATGAGGCCCCAATTTTCTTGTGGAACATTCCAGTGAACGATGTAACTATGTTTGTAGATTAATAAAGCACGCTAAATGACTTTCCTAAAAAAACATAGTTGATTGTAATATGTTGTATTACAGTGCAACACACTCAAGTCATTTGTGCGTCAGAGTGAGCCGTGTACGTAGCGAAAAGTGAGATTGACTCGTGGCGCCGTCCTGGTTGTGGTCGTGGCCAGCGCGTTGGCGCAGGTGTGCAACAAGTACACGCACATCCGGGGCTCCGGGCCATGCGACGCGTAATGATTGAAGAGGGCGCTGCCAAGACGCCCCCTGCATCTAGCTTCGCCAGCCTCACCCGCTTCCACTTCCACGACTGTTTTGTCCAGGTGAGCTAGCTACACTAAGCCATGCCTCCACACAACGGCACGGCACGCCGAGTAGGATGGTCTGACGAGCTTGGGAAAGATAAGTGGGGGATAAGAGAGGAGGAAGAAGAGGAGGAGCTGATAAGTGGGTCCCACAGTTTTTTTTAAAACCTTAGTCATTTACATGTGGTCCCACTTCAATTTATAACTAGGTTGTCACATCAACATAGGTAGATCAAGTCAACATGCCACGTTAGCGAAACCACCCTAAAAAATATCAAGGGAATCAAATTGTACTGGTTTTATTATTTTTTTTCGTGGGGGGGTCAACATATGCAATATTGCGTTTGAGGGATATAAATCAGATTGGCCCTACAATTGAGGTAGTTAAATTGGACTTATTTCTTAAGTCATCCCTAGTGATCCTTACAGAAAAAGTCTTCCCTAGTGACTAGTTAGCCAATTACGGAGAAATTCACCCTGTACACTGAAATCTGCAGAAGGAACTTCTATGACATTTCAAAGTTTGAGCCCGGAAGCCTGCACCAGTGTCTACAGAATATCTTGGCCCAATGGAAGTGGCCCATGTGAAGAGTTTCGTTTAAGGCCATGTTTGTTTTAGCTTAAGATTATTGTAATCTAAATTATTAAATCAGATTACTCTAAACTGGATTATAATAAGCTGACATAAAATAAGCTGTGAGTTGTTTGTTTCTATAGATTATTACATGCATGTAAGGGTAATGAGTCTTTAGTCACTTAATAATCTGGAAAAAGCTCCTCCAAAGGAGATTATTAGATTATAATAATCTGGCTTATAGATTATAATAATCTATCAAAATAATTTACTTGTTTGTTTCAATCTACTTATAATAATCCAGATTATAATAATGCTAAGCTGAATCAATCAGGGCCTAAGTTAAAGCCAACACATAAATTAAAGAGTGGATATGCCACTAAGTTTGTCACATGTTTATGATTTATCATTTAGTCATATTCTACAATACGCTATCGGCTTTTGTTTAACTTCGACAATTCAACATCATCGTCTGATGAGCCTCCATTACTAATGTACAATTTTATCCAAATTACCAAAACACCCCTAAGACAAAAAGTTACAAAATTTGGATACAAATTCTGAAATATCAAATTTTAAGTTTTTGACCAAATTTTGGATGTTTATAATCTTATGTTTATAATATGATATCTTGGAATTTTTGTCCAAAGTATAAAGTCAATAGCAAATCGCATGTGTCTATAATGGGTTCTCTCTTGGAAGCATTTCTTCCTTTTTCTTCCCCAAATGACCACATACGTTCCCCCACGGTTTGTGCCCCTTAATTCGTAGTAATTTCAATAGATTTACATTGAAAGCACACCTTTTCAAATATTTATATTTTGGGTTATCCCTTTTATGAAAAGAAATAATTAAATTGTAAGTGAGATGTGGAAGAGTCACATCCGTACCTTAGAGCTAAGCCATGCCTGTGTTAAACCATTTATAAACTAAAGTTTTTTTAATAAAAAGTGTGCATCACCATAAGCATGAGCGGAACATGAGCCTTTCGTGAAAGCAACAGGCAACAGGCAACAGGGCAACATGGCTAATGTCATAATGTTTGTCTGAATCATCTACCATTTTGACTTGGAAATGGAGTTTTGGCTGGTTGAGCCCAGGGTGGATTTAGACAGTGCTTTAGCTTGGCTATGGTCGTGTAGTAATAAAATCTATCTTTACAGAAAAAAAAACACGATACAAAATGCTTATGCTCATATGTACAATTTAAATGCACACTTACACACATACACACACGACCTATTTCTACGAGTGCCCCCTCCCTTGCTCTGCTGGAAGCCACCTCCCCTACCCATCGGAGGCCACCGGCGGGGTGTCTAGGGTCGGATCTACCCGTGGGGTAACGGATCCGCACGTAGGGGTGATAGTTTCGATCATGACGACTGGATCTGGCCTGTACAATTACCGGTCACCCAACCACCTCGTGTCGTGGCCGTTGACCGATCATTGCACCGCCATAGCAGCCTCGCTCACTTTGCCTTGCTCTACGCCATCCATTGCTCGCGGCTTGCTGCTATGCCGACCGCATCTCCTATGCGAGAAAACGACGCTACCATCATGGCTCGCCGTGCGGTTGGTCGGTGGCTCACTCTGACGGCGGTGAGGTGAAGGTGGGGGGCTGGGGGAGGTACTTTGGTGGCTAGGGTTTCCACCCCGAGCCGCCCGCCTGGCGGGACGACGTGGGGGTTAGACTCACTCTATATCATATTATCATATTATAAGCTGTTTTAATTTTTTTTCTCAGTCAACTTTGTTTTTTTAGGTTTGATCAAATTTATTAAAACTTAATAATAATTATAACATTAAATCAGCTTCATTAAATCTAACATTAAATATCTTTATATATTATGTTTGTTTTGTATTGAAAATAATGTCATTTTTTAAAATTTAATCAAATTTAAAAGTTTAACCAAGAAAAAAAAAATCAAAGTCACTTATAATATGAGAAACGGAGAGAGTATTCCGTTTATCCTCGAATAATTGTTATCATCTCAGTATCATTACATATATTATCTACTCCTATCAATACCTATTGGTAACACACCGGCCAAAAATCATTCACCTCGATGGAAATCTGAGAGGCCCATTGGATACTTAATAAGCTAAACTAAAAACCAAAATTTGAATTTTCAGACATAATTTTAAGTTGATCTTAAAATATATTAACTTGGTTTTTTTATATTAGCTTTTAAATCACTAAGAAAAGATATAAATTAATTTTTATTTTATAATAAATCATTTTAGTTTTATTAGAAAATATGGGTAACGAGGGCCTCAACAAGAAACAATCAAACACTCGTACATACCATGTGGACTTGAGAAAAATAGTTTAGAAAGTCATTCCGACAAGCTACCGTTATTATTTCTTCCCGTCACAATCCAAGTAGCCTTCCTCCTCTTCTTCCTCCTCTCGCGACGGCAACAAACGATTCACTTCCCCATTATTTTTCCTTACGCTCTCCGCCTCTCCGCCAAACACGCCCAAAATCGTCCTGCTCCTCCTCCGCTCCATCTACTGGATCCGCGCGACCGGCGATCTCCCCCGAACCTCGACTGATCTACTGGTGACGAACCCTAATAACTCGCTTGAATATATTGTTCGGAGTTTTTCTTTTCCTGGTCTTCTTGAGCAGTAGTATAATCGATACTCTGTAGCATCCATCTTCGTGCGGATCTTGTATGCTAAAGTTCTCGAGTAGTACTAGCAGTTTATTCATCAGAATCATCAGGGGTTGAACTGAATCCCCATGCTGTAACGTTAGGTCCGCCTCTTGTTTGGTGAATCAATTCATACCTCGATTCTTTCAGGGTGTGAATCTCATGTACTAGTATTGACTAGCTGTAGAAGGCTATTCATAGTCATAGCTTTACTGTTGGTCTAAGTTTGGTCAACGGGTACTATTCTTAGGCTTTCCTACCGCTGTTTCTGCGAATGGTTAGCGTTGAAACGCAGAATTGTACAATCTTTTTTTGCGAATAGGTTATCAAACCAAGTTTTGATCATTTGCTGGCATCTATAAAGCTAAACTGACTTCCTTACATTGGAGGTTGGTGGAAGAGCCAGCCCCTACCTTCGTTAGAGTTCCTTCAAGGAGCTAACTCTAATGAGGCTAGAGGTTGTTTCTTGTAAGGTGATAGGTTGGTACTAGTAAAATATAGAATCCTTTGTTCATTCTTGTCCTTCCATCACAGTCGTTTCTACAGTTTGGACCGCTTTCCAGGTAAGTTCTTTTACTAATGTCCAGTGTTAAGAAGGTGGTTTGTTTGACGGACCTCAAATCCTCAATAAAGGAACATTTGATTCTGAATATATAGCTTAGACAGAGATTTGCTCAGTAAAGCTAATATCAGTTGTCAAGGCGTATTAATTTAATTTTGTGCTTACTGCTAAAATAATCAGCACAACTAATGCATATTTAGATGTTTTCACCATTCTCGCTTCTACAGTCCTTTTCAGTGGTAGAGGTGAAATGAAATATAGAGCTAGAAAGTTTCATGTGTTCATTCTTCAACAGCAGTTTAAAAAGCTTTGTTGTGTTGCCTACGTATTCTTGCATCATAATGCAGAGTTTCTGTATGTTCTCCTTAACACAGTACAAAAACAAAGCATTTTCTCCTTGGTACAGTAATGTGCAAAGCTTTTATGTGTTTTCAAAAAGCGGCGCAAGAACGAACCATGCCTGGGCGATGCATGCATGACTACAGTTTGGGCTATTGTGGCAGGCTCAGTTCTCTCAAAACTTGATTTCTAAAGGAATCTTTGTTATTCCCGAAACCTATATTTACCTCAATTGACCATAGATGGCAACAAAAGTTGGAGCAACTGGGTCATATATGTATGAAATAAAATCAGAAGGTCAAATTCTATCAAGTCATATGCATGATCTCACTGAGAATCTGACAACTACCTGTGGGTCTTCTTAAGTTCTATTTACGCGATCAGTCACTATGTATGAATTCCATTATCTAAAAAAAGACACAATGTATGAATATGATGCCTTGGGACTGATCTCTTGGTTGTTGGTGCTGTATTAAGTAAATGCGTACTGATAATTTCATCAAAGACTTAAAATGTTTGATAAAGGTGCACTGTGCATCTTCATTCTTTGATCTGCCAAATCAGCAATTGATGTGTTAGCTTGGCACTAGAGCTCTGGGAGAATCACTAGTCAAAACTTGCTCGTGTTTCTTGGTTATCTCATTCATTACTATGTTCAGTACATATTATCTATTTCCTTACTGTTGATGTTTCAAGTCTTGAGAGTTAGGATGACCCCGAGACAAAGATCAAGAGTTCTGACATCCTTCCTTTTTTACATCAAATGTAGCCTTTGACCGATGGCATCGCCTGCAGCGCCAACAGCAACGGAGTTCACTCAGGAAGCTGCTCGTCAGTCTCTCATTGAGATCTCTCAGTCCCTCCCGGAGAAACCTTCAGCCCAGAACCTGGAGGTGAAGTCACCGAGCCCACGTGCAGCAAACGAAGATCATGAAGATGGAGCAGAGAAATACAGATCAAAGCTGATCTCAATCTCCTACCTTTCTCCGGATGCCCAACCGACGCCGTGCCCTCCCAAGAATGTCCTCACTTAACTGTGACGATGCTCCTACTCGTGCGTGTGTGGCACAGTATATCAGTGTTATACCTCACTTTTAGCTGGAAAGATGGAAATGGAATACTTTTGGGTGCTTATGTTTCTAACCCTAAGAAACATTCAGGGGGAAAAAAAAGAACAGATAGTTGTACAGATGACTTTGTGACGAAGAACTATTTACCAGGAACAGGCTTGCTTAATCCTTGCATGTTATTTTGTTGTTGCATAAGCTTAGTTGTTTCCTTATAATGTATGGTTATTCGAAGTGCTACATTTTGCCCTCTTTCAGAGTGAAAATAAAAATCTCTTGCGGTTATGAACGACCTGCTATGAAACGAACACTGGCACGCAGTCCAATTGCTAACCTTGTTGGTCTCTTCCATGCGCCATTCTTGGTCATTGGAAGAGTATCAAGCACAACGACTAACCTCTTGCCTTATCCATCTACTAGTATTCTTTCTGATTTAGTTCAACTTTGTTCAGAAATACAGAACGTCTGAACAATTTTTGTTTCGAGATTTGTAAACTTTTCTGAAGAAAAGGGAGGCGAAGGCTCGGTTAATTCAAAGGCCCAACTCATAAGAAGCCCAACCAGCCCATCAAACGGTGGGGAAGTGAAGTCCAACCTCCTGGCGATCCAAGGCCCAACCGATCATGCATTCACGCCACTCACGGTGAACCGGCGGCCGGCCGATCGGCGGAGGATGGCGGCCGCGGCGGGGGACTCGTCGGAGCCGAAGGCGAGCATCGGCGCGGGCAGCTGCTGGTCGCCACCATCCACCTCGGTCTCGGAATCGGTAGCATCTCTCCGCACCTCTCCTTTCGCGCATTTTTGCATTTGAATTCGGTTCCATCCGCATTGTTGGGGGGGGGGGGGGGGGGGGGCTTCCCGTCGGTGATCGTGCTGAGGGAACTGTAGCCTGTAGGTCCGATTGGCTCCGGGAGTCGTCGTCTTCCTTGAAGGGAGATTCTACCGTGTGGCTTACTTGGAGTAGAAGAGTGTCTCCTTGAGTCCTTTTGTACCGAGAGGATTCGTAGTCTACAGGGGAATTAGGGCGAAGTGCTGTCGCTTATGGCTGCTGAATGCTGAGGCAGAGTTAGCGCGTGAGTGCGCAGGTGTACTGGGACAACTACCCCAGTTTGCGCGATTGCTCTGAAAAATAACGATGTAGCTATGCGATTGGCTGCATAGTGCATAGCTCGGTCTAAAAGTGTGAAGTGTGAAAGAAGGGGAAAACCCCCATGAACAATACACTTGTTAAATCAATTTTCTTCTTTAGGATTTCGTTCTTCTGTTTTTGCTTTATCCTTTGATTTAGAATTTTATGTTTGGGAGGTTACTGAATTGATAAATCGTAGGTTTATTATGGAGTTTTTCTTCCTCAAGGAAAAGAAAAACTAAAAGAGGTTTGGTTTTCACGAGCTAGAGAAATGCCCAGGGGTCTTCTGGCTAGCTCCACAAGGTGGTGGGCTAGACGACCTGGGTTTGAAGCCTCATCCCTTCTAATTATTTGATATTAGGTACTTCCCTAATATTCACGTTTTTTTTTTCACAAGCCAGAGCTTGTACTCAGTAGTATATACGAAGATATATGCTTGGACTCCGTGTTGAATTATTCCATATATCTACTTTCACTTCTGAATTCATATATGCATCCAAGCAGATATAGAATGGAGTGAATTCTATACACACCAAATATATTTGAATTTGTAGTGAGTGAATTCTATTCATACCAAATATATTTAATGTTAACTGAAAATTTAATTGTGTTTGATGTATGCAGACATCACTTTAGATGTAGAGTTCTTGTGCAGAGAAATGCTACAATTTGATTTCACAGAAAACTCTGTCCCCGCTTTTCTATTGGTTATTGCTATAAGATTCCATGTTTTGCATTGTGCATGCAGTTTTTCCAATGTCCTTTTTGTACTTTTTGTTTGTCAAACTTCTAGTAGCTCTTGCCATTTTTAAATTTGAAATGTGGTTTCATTTTCTTTGGAAAGTTTGGGCATAAATTTCCAAGAAAATATTTATCCTTTCCCATCCTACTCTGATGGTTGTTAGATGGTTTCAGGTGAATGATGCATATAAATACTAAACAAACATATGTCTTCTACGGCCAAATTTCTGCAAATGCCTTCTCTAATTGATCTCCTGGTTAATCTTTAGTTACTAACCATGAATATTGCATACAGCTTCCATATTCTTGTCCTTTAATTTGCAACTTTCCTGCATTTGACATCATAGTAGCAGACCAAGTTTTGTTCTGATTCCATTACTTAAATCAAAGACTTGGCCACGGCCAAGGTAGTATTTCCAATTTCTAAAACCTCTTTGTTATGTTTAATCTCAGTTCTACATTCATTATTATTGTGCATATTTTCAGAGTCATATTTTGTAGCCATCTGCCTGATTATTGCATGCAAAACACATTAGTATTTGTTGGAAGATATTTTGCAACCGTAATTGACATACTGGAAGAAGTCATAACCATTATTGTTTCCATCGCTGTATAGGTTTTATTTTCGCCCACCCATTTGCCTTCCACTGTTTAGGGAAAAGAAGAGCCTTGATCTCGCCATGTTGCATTTGCTTTCCTTCATCCAGTGGTTATCTGCATGAAGTAACTTCGATGCTTACAGGTGATTATGCGTGTGTTCCTTTTTCCTCTATTAGTTGCCTTGGTTTTTGATATTATCAGTTCTGTGATATCGTTTTCCTGCAACTTGGGGCTTAGGGCAGGTAGGATAAGACTCAGAAAGCAAGTATTGGCAGTGACTGAAAGGTGTCCTTTACTCTTCCAGAGTTACATTTGTTCTTAAGAAATGAACTTTCTAATTGCTTGTGTCTTATACTAAAAAGATACTTGTCTAGTTTGCATTTAGGTTTTTCGTGGTACATCATGTTGAATTCCAACAAGTGCGTATTATATTATATGCAGAACGAGCACTTCGTGATTGTTCGTATGGAAGCTATGTTAACACATCAACCTGCAATTGCGTGCAACAGTGGTGGTCATGGAAGTTGTAAATGCATTAATGGGGTTTCTCTATGAGGCCTCCTGGTTAAATCCTTGAAAGAATGTCTGGTAAATGATCATAATATAACAATTTTGATGGGAGGAAATAAGAACAGAGCATTGTGGTGCAGGAACAATTGCTAGCTCCTCAGCTGCTTTATTCTTAACCTTTACCATCAGATGGTTTGATAGCATATAATTTGACTTATCACATACAGTATGAAAGAATTTTCCAGGCTAGACATCAATTTCCTGAAGTTCTAGACATAGCTAGAGAGTCAGCAACAACAACAATCATTACAATTCAGTCAGTTCAGCTATTGTGAGTAAACCAAATTGCATGGTACTTATGGGTCTGTCCATCTTTCGTACTACTAGGTTGTGTCTAATCCAGGATTAGGTTGCTATATTTTGGGATAGAGGGAGTTCGCATTAAATCTGGACTTCTAGATTATGAAGTTCCGGACGTAACACTTATCAACTGGAATGATTAAAATACCTAGAGAACTCACTTATTAATCTCTATCTATCTTCTGTTATTCTGCCATGCTGTTAGGACTTAGGATGGACCAATATCATCTGCTATTCCTGCACCTGAGCTAGAATGTCTTAGAAATGAATATGATACTAGCTTGAGTTTTTTTTAAAAAAACTGTTTGGTTTCCTTCGTGTCCTATCTTTGTTATTATGGGCATGAATCCATAACATTTCTTGAGTGGCTATTTCTAAGTGGAGTTCTCTTGCCGCCAATCTTTTTCCAATGGAAAGTTGACTAGCTGACAGTTTATTGTTCTATGGTATACTATTTTGGTATTTATACCATGTTATTTTATCCAAATCTTTTCTTGGATGTTCCAATGCCAAATACTTCTTATGGTTTTCTAATTCTATATCTGGGACATCCAGAATACTCATACCTTGTTGTACCTGTACGGTCTTATTATGGGTAGATCCCTGCTATGCTATTTCACAATTAATTTGATGTTTTGGCCTATCACTTCATATTATTGTTCGAGACAAAGGACAATTTGCAAAGAAATAGTTGGTGTACTATTGATAAATTAATGCAATTTATGTTTCCTCCATGTAGGTTGCATAAGAGCACAGTTTTCTGATAAAAGATTTTACAAAACTGCAAAAGTTGCAAGTCAGAGACTCGGAGTATTACTGAAGTGAGTCCAACTCTTATAGAACTTTTTTGTTGGTGGGGTTCATCCTTCGAACTATACCTTTTGCCACCTCTGGGAATCAATTATTTCCCGGAAATATGGATTTGATTTCTTGGTTCCTGCAGCTTTGCTGATCGTACCACAATAGATCTGCTGGCTTTTGCCCTTCAAGACCCAAGAGGGCTAGCTTGATGGTACATTTCTTTAATCTTTGTTCTGAAGCAATAGGTCAATTGTGAATAGTTTCTTTTCTATGCTGCAAAAGGTGTACCAGACTTCTTTACCTTCTTTAACAATGTTGTAGTTCTCCAAAAGGCCCATATTTCTAAACATTTTCAATCTTTTAGTCCATCGGTACCCCAGTCCAGCGATAGACCTGGCATACCCTTACCTTATTCTATTTACCTGTGTTGGACTTGAGGAAATATATTAGTGTTGCAATCTTTTAGCCCTACTCCCATGTTGTTTTATTCTACTTTAATCTATGGTTATCTTAATGCAGGGAGACTAATCAAGTCCAAGATTCCTTTTTCACGGATGGATGGTCCCAGTTGAGTGGACCTTTTGGTGGGAAGCGGACAAACTAAAGCAGGTTCCCACTTGACACCTTAATTTTCTTCAAAACAACTTTCTTCACAAGATCTCTTGCCAATTAAATTGAGACCCAGAGGTAAAATTACCACATAATCGTCACTCCGAAAAAAATGTCACTAACATCGATAGTTAGTCAAAAAAAAACATCGATAGTTCAATATGGCTGACATGCTAATTCACAATCTTTGTTTGCAACCCATCATTTTAATTCAACTATATATATATTTCTCTTTCCGAGGGAGTAATATGTGAAAGTATTCCTTTTCTTCGAGGTAAAAAAAAAGGTACCTTATCGTAGGCGCAATCAAGGATTGTTTGTTTAGGGCATGTTTAATTCGCGAAAAGAAAATATTTGGGTGTCACATCAGATGTTTGACCGGATGTCGAAAGGGGTTTTCGGACATGAATGAAAAAACTAATTTCATAACTCGTCTGGAAACCGCGAGACGGATCTTTTGAGCCTAATTAATCCGTCATTAGCACATGTA